TTAAGAGTTTTTAAGAGTTTTAGCCAAATGCATTATAATATAGTATAGATATGCTGATTCTTATTTCAAAAGTTTTCTATAAATCACACAGAAACCCAAAAGTCTCCTGGTAACTTTCCTATAAACTTCCTCCCAATTTCCAGGAAATAGAAACTTTCTAACATGAAAGTACCCATTAAACTAATTGACCATTCTGGGTCATGGGTGGGCCAGACACAAAGAAAAGCTTGGAACTTGCATATATATATATATATATATATACATATACATACACACACACACACGCACATATGCATATAGAAACAATCTCTTTCTTGGTACCTTATGTGCAATTACATGTATGAACTACTGAAACTTCACATGAATTGCTTCATCAATCACCAAATATGAAACCACCCATTAAACAAATTGATCATTATGGGTGATTGGTGGGTCAGCACAGAGAAAAGATTGAAACTTGCATATATATAAAAAGGATCAAGGTTCCTTTCCTCTTATCAAACTCCATAGCTACCTTACTTACATCTAGTGCAATTATAGTGAGAGCTGAAATCTAATGGCAGTAGAGGCAGTTGTATCTGTGGTGTTACAGAAACTAACCGAGATGCTGAACGGGCAATCACTAACCCAAAACAAATACATAAGCTATGAAGTGCAGGACATCATGAAGTCGCTCAACTCGATCAGAGACTTGATGATCTCCACAAAAGAGATCAACCAGCAAGCAGAAGAGTATCTGAATGCTGTCTACAACGTTGAAGATACGATCGAGAAGTTCACTCTCGTTGTTGTCCGCCAGAGAAAGGTATACGGGTTCTTAACCAACCATATCTTCTTCTTTAACAACTTGAATTCTTGCCAGAAGATCCACCAGAAAATCAAGAAAATCACGACCCAACTGATGCAGCTAAAAGCCCATACACCTTACAGAAAGATTCATATTGAAGAAATTCAAACTGAAGAGGAAAAAGATGAAGAAACTGTGGTTGGAAATCATAAAACCATCGAGGGTTGTTCTTCAACTTCAGAAATGCAAGCAACAAATCCTGGCAGCTATATGGAGGAACTGACCTTCAGCTACTCATGCAATGAAGAAGAGATGCAGATTGTAGGTATCAAAGAACGCTTTCAGAAAATGTCGAGCTTTTCCTACAAAGAAGAAGAATTGGGCATCTTTGGTTTGAAAGAAGATGTCGAAATTCTGGTGAAGCAGCTCACTAAAAACAGTGAACATTTTGTCTCGATTGTTGGTCAAGGGGGAATAGGCAAAACCACACTTGCTCGCACGATCTACAAAAATAGAAACATCAAGTGCCATTTTCAGTTCCGTGCTTGGGTTTCGGTGTTGGAGGAGTATACCACAAAAGACATCCTGCTATCCTTGTTCAAAACAACAGATACCATGACAGATAAAACCACAAGTTTGGATGATGAGAAAGCAATGAAGTTGAAGCTCTCAGATTACTTCAAGAATAAGCGGTATTTGATCATCTTAGATGGTGCAAGTACTTGCAATATTTGGAAAGATATAAAAGAAACCTTCCCAGATGTGAAAAATGGAAGTAAAGTGGTCTTCACATCTACACAAACAATGGAAACCACAGAGGTGGGCATAGTTTCACATCATATGATGCCTCTAAATGAAGATGATAGCTTGAAAATGTTCAAAAAGAAGGTTGGTAAAGAAGAAAGTTGGCCTCTAATTTCAGAAACATCAAAGAAGGCAATTGTGCAGAGCTGCAATGGTCTACCCCTGAATATAGTCCTGCTTGCAGGTCTATTCTCCATGAAGGATCCAAACAGCTGGTGTCAAGTCTTTTCTTGCATGAAAAACTCTAACAACATATTGTCCCTTTGCTATAACGACTTGACCGACCACTTGAAGGTATGTCTGCTTTATTCAGTGCTTTTTCCTAAAGAATTTGACATCCCAGTAAGAAGGTTACTGCGGTTGTGGCTTGCTGAAGGGTTTGTGAAACAGAATTCAACCATCGTATTTCCAGAAGATATTGCAGAAACATATTTTGATGAATTAGTTAACAGGAACATGATTCAAATATCAAAGTTGAGGTCTGACAATAGCCCAAGAAGATGTCGTGTGCTTGGAGTTCTACATGATTATTTGTGGCCTAAAGCGCAAGAAACCAATCTCTTTTACACTTATCGTAATTTGATTAGTTATGAAGAAGTAGGTACTTTAAACATCCGTAGGATGGTTGAGTATGAAAGTTCAAAAAGGGAAACAAGAAACCAGTTTGAAACTGAAATGTCCAAGAACACACAACTTAAGAGTTCTTCGTTTAATCCCTCTCACCTGCGGTCTTACGTGTCATTTAACCATCAGAAAACGGATTATAGGCAGGCAAAGCGAATTGGAAGTTTTTTAGGAAATATCATCAATGATGGTATTGGGCTCTTACGGGTGCTTGACCTAGAGGGCGTGTATAAACCAATCTTGCCTGAAAACCTTGGTAACCTATGCAATTTGAGGTACTTAGGCCTGAGATCAACATACTTGGATAGTCTCCCTCCATCAGTTGGTGAATTGACCCATTTGGAAACATTAGATGTGAAACACACATGCATAGATGAGCTACCAGGTTCCATTTGGAGATTGAAAAATCTCCAACATCTCAATCTAAATGAAACATGTCTAGATATGCAACCGCATTCTTCCTTGAGGCTCTTGACACTCTGGGGATTGTTTTTGGACAAGAAAATCGCCATAAAGAATGGTTTAGATAAGTTGCATGATCTTAGAGAATTGGGTATTACATTCCAGCCAAAAACCAACCAGGATGACTTAATGGATTGGATCGGCAACTTAGAAGCTTTACGTTCATTAAGGTTGCGATCCAAAGACAATTTAGGGCGCGCTTCAAAACTCGTGTTCAGATCAATGTCAAATCTGAGGCAACTTTCCCACCTAAACTTGTTGGGGAATTTAGAAAAGCTACCTGATCAAAATGAATTCCCACCAACACTGAAGGTTTTGACATTATCAATCTCACTGCTAAAGCGGGATCCTATGCAAACTCTAGGCCAACTTCCTTGCCTAACGGTGCTCCGACTCTTGGGGGAATCCTACATAGGAAAAGAAATGGTTTGCAGAAAAGGGGGGTTTAGTAAGCTTAGATTGTTGAGAATGTGGAAGCTGAAAGAGTTGAAGAACTGGTTTGTTGAAGAAGGATCAATGGAAAACCTCAAACATCTGGATATCAGGTGCTGTGATAGATTAAGTAACATTCCAACAACATTGCTGCAACAACAGAAACTAGAAAAACTGGTACTGACAGGCATGCCACATAGATTCACAACTGAGGTAGAACGCTTAAAATCAGATCACACATCCATGACCATCAACCACTGGAAATTTCCTCCATTACCGGTGAGTTCGTGATTTACAGTTCTTATATTTGCAAGCTTATTTCGACTGTTATAGAGTTCTTTTTAGAAGATATCGATAACTTATCTGCAGATGCTAACCTTCTATTTTGAGTGCAGTGGGAACAAGATTTATCTGCAGATACTAACCTTCTATTTTGAGTGCAGTGGGAACAAGATGATACTACTTTGGTGAACCATAGCTAAGTTTGAAGGTCCAAGCCCGTTATCAATAAAAATAAACCAATTGGAAGTTCCAAGAATCCATTACCAGTCATATTATCATATGCTTTTGCATTTGCTTATTTGTGGTCAGAAGTTTGTTGTTGGTTTCTTGTTCTGATTTCATACCTGTAAACTCTTTGCATGCCCAGAAAATAAATAAACTATAATCTTTTTTTAAGGGTGTCCCAGGCTGGACTAATCCTGCCAAACTGTGATGTAATAAATCTGCCCTGATAAACTTAGCGGCCACAATTGTTGTGAGCGCCTGGAATAGAACCCGGACAACATGTAGGAGAAATGGAGGTTTGGGCTTTAGAGGGGTTGGCGTTGCTTGTATTTTACAATAGATGCTTACTTGATGGGATATTCCACCATATCCCGGGGCCTCAACCACTATGCCACAACCCTTTGTGGTTAGAAACTGTAACCTTATTATTACCATTGAGGCATCTTGCCTACATCTTTCTTATCTTGGCAATTTGGCATCGCAATTGGGAATTTTGAAGAAGATTGTATAAGCATTTTACATATTTTATTCGTCAAGTAATCGTAATATCGACTAAATTATGATACCAATGAAAGCAATAGTGGAGTAAACCATACCTGTTGTTAGGATCCCCCTCAAGCTCTGTAAGAGAAGATCATCAAGAATCACCAAGACCTGTTTTGATAACCATCTTTTCATTCTTAATTACCATCGTTTTCTTTTCCTGCTTGGCAAAAGATCAAACAGTTGGAATGCATAATTCTAAACCTTTATAATCATCTCAAATATCACACCCACCAACAAAATTCCACAAAAAGCAAACTTTAAATCTGATTCTGCTGGCTTTCACATCGTAAAACTACGTTTTCCTTCATTTCCTGCTTTAAATTTCATAAAAGTATCACAGCTACGTAAACGAGCAGAACTCAGAAACGATGAAGATCAACCCAGTTCAATTGCATCACGAATTGATAGAATCTTAATTATGAGCTCATAAACCGCATACACTTAAACCTCATCATCATCAGAAAACCCCTTCAGATTTCATATTTTCTTAAAAATAACTAAGCTTTCGATGTTCATTTGAAGTAATTTTGAAGTTCTACAAGTATTTAACTTTTAATTGCTAGAGGAATTTCCAAAAGGAAAAACCTCTCCAAAAATTGGCGTATGCCACTTATCGTGACGAACACACGGTATTCTTTAGTAAAAGGCGAAAGAATAGTTCGCTTTGTGTTCATCACATGGCTGCGTGATTTTCCAACGAGTCCAGGGGCCTTTTTTATACACCTGCTTTAGTTCTACATTTGCATTCACGCTTCGATGTGGGAGTGAACCAGTTTGATTCTAAAGCGGAGTCAACTACGTTTTTAGCCCTTATGGTTTGTCAAAAATTACAATTTTTGTCCTTGTGTATTTAAAATTATGATATTTTCCTACCTGGAAACTTTCCAGCCATGACTTTCAATTTTTTGGATGGCAATCGTTCCAAACATATACTCATCAGGTATGCGGGTAAAAGAATTTACCATAGGTAGTTTAGTAATTTATCATTCTTGTCTTACCTCCTTGATTTTTGTCCCATCAAAAGGCATTTTTTTCCACTCGAGGTCTTGTCCTGTCCCAATCTAATGTCGCGTCAAACATGAGACAACAAGTCTAATGTCGCACCAAACATGGGATAACAAGTTTTTGTACCATCTTGTTTTGTCAAAGATGCACAAGGCCCAGACTTTTTGTGCCTGGGCCTTCCAAGCCTGTTTTCAGTGAGCAAAAAAAGGGGCACTCGAGCCTGACCAGGCTTTGGGGTTGAAAAGGGACCCAAAAGAGCTTTGTTAGGCCGGGCTTAAACCGGCTTACTTTTTTAGGTTGGGCCTACCCCAAACCTGATCGGGCTATGAGGCCTGGGCCGGACTAGGCTTCTACGCTCACTAGGCCCAAGCTTCGGGCTTGGGAGGTGGCTAAAGCCACCTAGAAAGTCGCCCGGACTCTCCTATGCATATATAAAACAGTAGAGTAAATCGACATTTCATTCCAAGTCTCTGGTCAATCAGCCATATTCAACTTGAATTTCACACAAAACCATGAAGATAAAATTAGGTGGACGTGGAATGAAATGAAAGAGGAAATATGATTTGAGGGTTAAAGTTCTTGGCTTTTGAATTGTAAGCATCATGTAGGTACACAACTAGTTTATAAAAAATGAAATTCAATTGCGTTCCAAATACTACAAACCAAACACGTCAAATATTCTAAATCCTCCTAATTCCAAATACTTCTACAGAATGAAAAATCCTCATAAAACATTCCGTCAAACCCAATTTCAAGTCTTGCATCTGGTGCAATATATATAGGATCTGGTCCAATTCGAGCAAAGCATGGTAATAACCGCGAAGATTTCCTTCAAAATTTCTGCTGCAAATAGTAGGTAAGTAATGGCGACATCAATTGCTTCGAAATTATCCGTATCGTTGTAAAAATGGAAGCCGAGAAGTGCCAGAATAATGAGAAAAATACTAGTAGCATGAAGTATGAGGCCCTTGTAGATATAACAATACCATTTAATTGTTGAAAACATTGATTCGTGGAGATGGTCAGTGTTTCCTAACAGTAGAGCCTGAAGGTGCAACCGGCTGCAAAAACGAATATGCTCAGTAGCGGGAGATGAGACCTGGCCAGTATGACAAGAGGATATAGATAGCTACTAGTGATTGAAAAACCAAAAACAGCAAATGTCTTAACCAAAGCTTATTGTCTTACGAGGAGTGGGCAGTAATGGAGTCCGGACCACCAAGGTGATGAAGGAGAAAGGGTGCCCTAAAAGACATGACACTACAATAAAATCGGGTTTATAGGACGCCTAAAGTGTTCATGTTTCCAAAAAGAGTGTCTTATAAGACTCAATCTTATAGGACCATAAAACAAAGCGTCTTATCTAAAAGTGTTGCTACAAATTTATAAGATGCTTTTGGGCCTCATAACAAGTTTTTCAAGACCCTCTTAAAATAAAGTGTCGTGTTAGCTATTTTATAGGAAACTTTTAAGAACTGTCCTATAAACCTATCTTTTTATAGGACACTTGTGCTTATATGACAGTGTTCTATAAAATAGCTAATACGACATTTTTATTTTAAAAATGTCCTAAAAAATTTGTTAGGACGTCCAAAAGTCTCCTATAAAACTCATAGTACTACTTTTAGATAAGATGCTTTACTTTTTGGTCCTACAAAATGGAGTCTTAAAAGGCACTCTATTAGGAAACTTGAACACTTTAGGAGTCCTATAAACCCGATTTTGTTGTATTGTGAGCTCACTTGTGTTTGATTTGTGATGTTTTGAATTGGAATGAGAGGTGTTGTCGCATACTTCTAAGGCACTTTGGGTAGCAATACTTAGGGCTACTGGTACAACTGCAAATGCCCAAAAGTAGACAAACCAGAGTGGTTTTTCCTAGAGTTCTTGGATTGTATTTCCGAATGTTTCCTAGTAGACTTAACATGATCTGCAAAGTAATGCTGATGAGGATCAAAACCTCGCGGTGCCTGCTCGTGCCACCTCTTTTTAACATCATCTGGTATTTACTAGAGTAACATTCTCTCATCTTCGAGCATGATTGAACCTATGACCGGAAAGAAGTTAAAAAGATAAGAAAGCCAGCTGCAAGTTCGATATTAATGGAGGACCAAGCTATGTTTACTAGAACAGTTGGTCTCCAGCACACATTTATAATATGGCAAGAGTAAACAAGTATAAAACAAAAATAAAATGTTTAACTTATGAACCAAAACACAAAACTTACGAGATTCTTCAACTGTTCAACATAAATTCACTTAAGAAAAAATGGTGTTATTAACTGAGATTCTTAAACCAGATTCTTGATTGTGTGTTGATGAAGGAATTACACAAGGTATATATATAACACATATATACCAAGTGTGGTATATCCTCTCGTAATCACTAAGAAAATTCCATCACAATTTCTTGGTGAAGTTTGTAAAGAATTTAGAAATGGGTTACTAAAAGCGGTCCCAGCAAGAAACTATTGGTCAGACATATTTTGACTCAAGTCATTTATACATAGAGGGATGACTTTTGAAGCTAACTCCTGAGGCCGGTGTGGTGGTGGTGGTGGTGGTGGGTGTGGGTGTGTTGGGGTGGTGGTCAGTATTGACAATTTTAACCACAATTGAATTTGCATTTTCTTTGTTCATATATTAAAATCAACAAGATTAGACGAAGAGAGTCTTTCTCATACTTTAGCAGTATTTTACGTAGTTATACCAGAAAAGTCTGCTACCAACTTTCTTGTGAACTTGCTAATAGCTCCGTTTTCATGAAACAGAAACTTCCTTCTAACTTAATAGAACATTTTAATTAAATGATCATCTCTTTTCTAATAATTCTCCTGTGAAATAGGAGATGGGCTCATTCAATTTCTCCTCCTTCTTAATCATTCCATGTCTGAATACTTTGACTACATGAAGCGGAAGTATCAGTTCTATCGTATCTTAACTGAAATAAAACGTGTTAAAAAGATTGAAACTTCACATGAAATACTTCATCAGTCAACAAATATCAAACTAAGTACTGTTAATGTATACACAACCCATTATCAAAGACCACTCACAATCAAATAACCGGTTCGTGTTATTAGTGATTGAGTGAAAGTTCTTCCCTCATGGCTCCCTTCTCCTTTGTTCTTGATACTGGTGCAACAAACCACATGACATCCAATCCGGAGGTCCTGCAACATTACAAACCACGTTGCATCTATTTCAGGTGTTAAATTTTGTCTATATATAGTTGATGATTTCCCTTATTATATATGACTCTTTACTGAAACTTGGTTTTGCTATGCATCGTTTATAAAAAACTATCAACTCATTAAGCATAGTAAGTTATGATTTGAGGATATCAGAATCGAGTACAAAGGGCAAAGAGAAGGTATAAGATGGTTGAAGCATCTTTAGCTTGACAAAGAAGATGTTTGGCTAGTTATGCTAAGCTTTTGATGCAACTATGCAAGACATGATTTTTGTATATGCCTTAAATGTAAGAAAATTTAGCTTTGGTATCAACATAAGTGGATGTGCTCAAATATAGGAGTTTAATGAACTTTTTGTTGTGAACATGAAGCAGATAGTATTGTTAAACAAAACCAAACAAACATAGCATGTCCCACCCGAAGGTGGGATTTGGAAGGGGTGGGATGTACACAGATCTTACCTCTACCCTAAAGAGTAGAGGGCTGTTTCCGTAAAGATAAAGAGTAGAGGGCTGTTTCCGTGAAGACCCTTGACTTGTGCAAAGTGTGTGAAAAGAACGGATAAAGCTTGTTCAAAACAATTGCGGACATGAAGAACTTGAAAATATGAAAAGGGGGTGCTAAAATTTGGGAATGAGTTAAAAGTAAGCAACAATCATAACAGACAGACAAACAACAAACGTAGCATACAAAGAAGAAGCGAGCAGAAGGAAACAAAACCAAAAGGAATAGCTACGCACCCCAGACTAACCTAGGACTCATGTGATCTAACTGCTAGCACACTAACCCTACCCTCATCGTCTACCTCTACAAATCCCTTCCATCTAGGCCAACTAAAGGTTCGCACATCTATTCCTCTACCCTTATCTTGCGTCTCCAAGAACTCCTATCAAAGATCATGTCATCAGAAATGCCTAAATGTCTAACCTCAGTTGCTCATCCTAGGTCCGCCTCAGCCTACCCCTCGACCCTTTCTAACCGCAGTCGCCATCTGTCTCCTCCAAATGTGACCAAACCAACGCAATATTCCCTCTCTCAACTTAATTGTGATATGTGTTGGTCCCAACACCGCCCGATAGACCTAGTTTGGTATTTTGTCATACATGGTCCGACCACAAGTCCATCTACGCATCCTTATTTATGTCACTTCCAATTTCCTCTCATGGCCTTCCTTGTCGTCCAACATTCCAACCTATAACAATATAGTCGGTTTGATGGTTCCCTGGTAAAATTTTCCCTTCAGTTTTACATTACATTCTTGTCACACTACACCTTCATGACAAACTCCACTTTAACAACCCGTCCTTTTGCGATGTGTTAGACCCTCGATCTCACCCCTGAACCCCCCCCCCCCCCCCCCCCCCCCCCCCCCCCCCCTTTTCTGAATTGTAGAGCCTATACACTTGAAACTAACCTTTGGGCTATCCTTTGCCTCCATCGTATGTTAGATAAGATTTAAATGACACCGAGAGTTGATTATTATGTATATAATTTATTTTCTATGAAAAGGGTCTCACAAGTTGGAATTAGAGTTGTGTTTAAGAGATCTGATGTCGTTTATTAGATAGCTAATCTTAAACTACTAATTCGTGTTAAAAATCAAACCAATGTTAGTAAGAGCCTCTTTATTTGACACTGGCAGCAATATGGAAACTAATGTGAGTGATGTGTATTACAGGAGATTAGAAATCTGGTCTAAGGGTGTATATAAACCCGACAACCCAACCCAAATAAAAAGTAGGCCAAATAACCAAACCCGAACCAACCTGAATTTTAACCGATGTCTAAAATCTACAAACTGAGTTAGTTGGGTTGGGTTGGGTTATGCCCAAATCAATACAACCCAACCCAACTAACCCGTCGGACTAAATCCAAAATCCAAATCATCCGTACCTAGAAGTTCCATTCAACTCAAACCTTTTACTGTTATCTCTGTCTTGACATCTTATGTCTAGATTAATATTCGGATGGTTGTAATATATTTTGCTGTTAAGTACCGACCACTAATACTTCACCCTCTTGTTTTTAGATAGGTGTTAACCTTACTTTAACCATCTTTCCAGCACTATGTTCAACCCAACCAACCAACCAACCAACCCAACCCATATAACTTTGCAAATATGAACTAATTTTTTCTTTATAAAAACCATATATCCCATTGCAAATATAATTTAAGAAAATAACATTAATCAAACATTTGAGGGAAAAAACACTGTACAATATGGATCCGAGATTATACGACAAGACATGAAATGATACATAATTACAGAACCATACAAAACAAAGATCAAGAGACGTTGGATAAGGCTATCTTCGATAAGATTGAGGTTAGAGACACGACCCTCATGCTTTCAGTTTTGTTCAAGGCTATTGATTCTTCTCCAATGGCTTTGTTATGCTCTCGTACCATGAAAGAACATTTACTCTACACTCAGGGAACACATAGATAGAGAGGACAGAAGAAAGACACAGCAATGAGCAGAAGACCCAACTTGAATTGTTGGGGTGTTTTCCTTGAACATATACCGCCAAGGTTACAAAAGAATCCCTATTAATGTAGGACAGTAAGAACTAAAAAGACAATTCTAGTTTATAAGATCCCATAAAAAAGAGCATCTTGTATCAATTATAACCATCTGATATCTAAACAAAATTTATCCCTCCCAGAACCTACTCCAAGATTCACTGGTTTGGTTTGGTTTTCTGTCCTATTCACTGCCTTATAGACTGGTCTTTCATAATGGGCCGTGTATTATATTATTTACATATTTGTTGACTGATGAAGAAATTTCATGTAAGTTTCAGTCTTTTCAACATCGGAATTTCATTTAAAGTACAAGGAAACTAATAATTTCATGTTAGTCAAACTATTCAAACATGGAATGATAGAAAAAGGATAAATCGAATGGGTCCTACTCCTATTTCATAGGAGAAGTATTATATGAAGAGATGAAACCTTTAAAATATCTATGAAGTCAGAAGGAAGTTTCTGTTTCTTGAAAATGGTGGGTACAAGTAAGTTCATAAGAAAGATGGTAGGAGACTTTTCTGGTATAACCGTACAAGTACGGAAAAATACCTCATTGTATGAAATCTGGCTAAAAGTATCGGAAAGACTTTCTCTTGGTCTAATCTTTTTGGTTTAAAATATGAAGGAAACTGTAAATTTGGTTATCATTAAAGTTGTCAATACAGACCACATCCCACTACATCGGAGCTTGGAGACGAATGCTTTTTTTAAAGTATATAATATTTATAAAAAGAAAATGGAACATATAACTCACACACCCTCCTCACCTTTGGTGAGGTTTGAACCCCTGACCTCCTAGGAGGCCAAAGGCTCGCATACCGCTAGGCCAAAGGCCCTTTGGTTGACAAATGCTTATTGTCAACCTATGAAAATACAACCCCCCCACCGCTAGGCCACACTTGCTCAGGGGTCAAAACCACTGTTAATTCAAAAGTCATGAAAGGGTGCAAATTCTGGGAATATGTCCCTGAAAGAAGATAGAAGAGTACTGGAAAAATAATAAGAATTCATAATATTTTCCTCTGTCTTTGACCAAGTGTTTCTTGCTGGATATTTAATTACTAATTTCCAAATATATTGCAAAACTTTACACTGAAACTGTAATGGAGTTTTCTTGGTAATTAGGAGACGAAGTACCACTTATCATCCATTCCTTATATAGTACTCCTGATTCCTTCATAAAGACACAATCAAGAATCTGGTTTAAGAATTTCAGTTACTGACACCTTTCTTAAGTGAATCTCAGTTAACCAATTGTAGAATCTCGTTTTTGACTTACATTCGTAACTCGTAAGTTTTGTCTTTTGGTTCATGAGTTAATGTTTACTTCTGTTCTATACTTCTTTACTCTTACAATGTTGTTCATACTTTTCTACTGTATACATATCGAACTTGCAGCTGACTGTCTTATCTTTTTTACTTCTTTTCGGTCATAGGTTCAATCATGCTTGGAGATCACAGAACGTTATTCCAGGTAGTAGCAGAAGACGTTAAAAAGTTGTGGAATGAGCAGGCACTGCGAGGATTGATCCTCTCCAGCCTTGGTTTGCAGATCATCTTAAGTTTACTAGGAAAACTTCGGAAAACCCATCCAAGAACTCTACTCAGAACCACTCTCTGGTTCGTATACTTTTTGGCATATGCGGTTGTACCGATAGCCCTCAGTATTACTGCCCAAAGTGCCTTAGAAGTATGCAACAACACCCCTCATTCCATTTCAAAACATCATAAATCAAACACAAGTGAGCTCGCGTCTTTTTGGGCATCATTTCTCCTTCTCCACCTTGGTGGTCCAGACTTCATTACCGCCTACTCCTCAGAAGACAATGAGCTTTGGTTAAGACACTTGGTGTTTCTGGTGTTTCAATCAGGAGTTGCTCTCTATATCCTATTGTTGTCCTGGCCAGGTTGCTCTCATCTCCCGCTACTAAGCATATTCGTTTTTGCAGCTGGTTGCATAAAATGTTTTCAACGTGTTCGGGCTCTAAGGTTAGGAAACACTGAGCATCTCCGAGAGTCGATGCTTGGCCCTGCCGACCCAGGTCCCGATTATGTCAAATTCCTGGAGGAGTTCCAACTGAAAAAGTCACAGGGTTTCATTGTGAAGGTTGAGGGGGTTGCAGAACCCCCTCTTCCCATCATTCATGCATCTCCTGAAAGCCTGTGTAAGGAAATTCTCGAAGCATACGATCTATTCCAAACATTCAAGCGGCTTTTTGTTGACCTCATACTCACATACGAAGATAGGGATAGGAGCAAAACCTATTTCTGCCATTTTGATTCTGCTCGTGAAGCTTTCCGTGCGGTTGAGATTGAAATCGGATTTGCATATGACAAGCTTTACACGAAAGCAACGGTGGTCTATACTTACACAGGCCTCATACTTCATGCAGCTAGTGCTTTTCTCATTCTTCTGGTACTTCTGGGCTTCCTTTTCTACAGTGAAATGGGCAATTTCTGTGTCATTGACGTTGCCATTACTTACCTACTAATGGCAGCAGAAATCTTAAAGGAAATCTTCACGCTTATTTCCATGCTCCGCTCGGATTGGACTGATATCTGGTTGAACCAGCAGAACCACACTCGTAACATCCTCATATTCCCATTCCTAAAGCAACCGAGTAAACAAAGGTGGTCCAATTCCATTGCTCAGTCAGACCTACTAAGTGTCGCCCTTGGGGAGAAGCCAGCTAGATTTTTGCCAGTTCAGAAATTATTTGGGGTAGATAAGTATCTAGAGACCCAACGATACCAGACATATAGAGACGTTTCTGACAACCTAAAGGATATGATTTACACACACTTTTGTGATTTCATAGCTTGTAGCTCTGATTCTAAAGCATTTTGTATTCACAATGGTGGTTTTTCTAGTTTCTCTCTCCAAAAGAATAAGTGTACCACTCTTCTGTGGAGCATCAATGAGGCAGAATTCTATCAGATCGTTCTTACATGGCACATAGCTACTGCTCTTTGCTACTACTCAGAGGTTAATGATCCGTTTCAAATCAACCGCATTGAAAGCAAGCACATATCTGAGTATCTGGTCAATCTTCTCATTTCAAACCCTGAAATGCTGCCAATGGGTATTGGAATAATCAGGTACCGTGACACGTGTGCTGATGCCATGCGTTTCTTCAAAACAAAAGGTCCTATTACTGAAAAAGCAGAAGCGTGCCGAAAGTTGCTTGAAGTTGATTGTAAGGAGTTGTTGCCTAGTATAGTGAAGGGGGATCGATCCAAATCTGTACTGTTTGATGGTTGCAGGCTCGCATTAGATTTGAGGGAAATGGAAATGGAAAGGGGGGGAATGTGGAAAGTGGTGAGTCAAGTATGGATCGAGATCCTAGCTTACGCTGCCGCTAACTGCAGAGGGGTTCAGCATTCGCAGCAGCTTGGGAGAGGTGGTGAATTTCTAACTCAAGTTTGGCTTCTGATGGCACATTTAGGCATGACAGAGCATTTCCAGGTATCGCAGGGCCATGCTAGAGCTAGGTTCAATGTGTCATAGACATAACTATTGTTTAGGCACTCACCCTCTTTGATTATTATTCTTAATTTTGTAGATCAAGTTGTACCTATTGTGTGCAGCAAGGTTCATATTTGTAAAATAAAATGACCTTAAACCAAGTATGGGGACAAGTCTTCTACTTTCTTCAAATCCTTCATATTTTTTGGGTAAAATTTCCTTTTCTCTCACATTTGCAAGCTGAAGGTCTTCATGTGAAACATTCGCTCTGTTTTTGGGTTGAAAACAGGCAGGCCTTACCTTCGAATGAGATTTACCGGGCTTCCTTAGTTTGGTAATGCAAACTTGATACATGCTATATGAAAATGATGTGAGATTTAAAATTCAGGGTTTATTTTTGGTGGTTTTCTCTCATAAGCCCTAAACATTTATAGAACATAAGCAAAAAAGCAAGTTTATAGCACATTATATAGGACATTTTTAGACCAGGTTGCAGTTTAAATCCTTATCATCATTGACCTTTTTAAAGCAAAACATGTAAGATTTTGTACTTTCTGTAATTACTTGGTTGCCAAAGAACACATAAAATTTATAAGAAATGTATTAGCATGTACAAATTGCCAATAGGGATGTAAAGAGTCAAGTGAAATTAAACAGTGAGGTACTCGAGTTTGCTCCATTAATCAAAGATATAGTTTGAATTGGATATAAAGCACTTGTCCCAAATTTCATGTCCCCTCCTGTCCACCATTCAACCCCTGACATATCACTTCACTAAAGAGAGAGAATAAAAAGATGAATTAAATAAATGCATATTAAGTAAAGTAACGATGTGTTAAGACAGGAAGACGAAATGGAGTTTGGGGATGGGTGATTATTCTTTTGAGAGTGAATTGCACTGCGACTCGGATGAAGTTGTAGATTTGCAAAAAATTGTATGTCTCAACTTAATATCACTGTTCTAAAAAGGCCTCTGCGTAACTGCCGTTGTGGCTCAAGGCTCGTCTTTGACTCCACATTAAGCCTATGGCACGCCATGGTTTGATGTGCATTTTATATAAGGCGTTATTTGATCTTCTTTTTTACTTTTTAATCTATTTTTACCTAATTAATATTTTATTCTTAGGTTTTATTATATAACCTACTCATCTATGGTTTTATACTAGAGTAACATTTAAAAACATATATATGATATACAGATTTGCCGCTATAAGTTACGCCTTGAAAAACGTCATGGCTCCCAAGGCTGAGGTTTGACCTCACCGCCACCTCTCACGCCATTTAGAACCTTGCTCAATTCTATAATGCTCATTAATCTCTAAATCAACTTAAAACCATGGTGAAATATTATTATATACTTCATAAAAAACTTTATAAAACTCTGAATTCTAAGTCATAACCAGAAAATCAGCAGACAAAAAACTAGAAATATAAACAGTAATGAACGACTGGAAAAAACCAAAGTAGCAGAAAGTGTAGAAGAGTTGATAACTCACAATCATATTGGGCTATGCTTCCAGAGTGTTGCATCATCCACACCTCTAACATATCTCTGTTATATAGAAAACTATATCGTGGAAATCACACATCTTGACCGTAATATAAAGACCAAGTCGTTGTTGACCCAAGTCAATTTTATATTTTAAATACTTAATTGAGTAAATTATGTTTTCGTCCTTGTGGTTTACTAAAATTTGCATATTTCATCCCTGGGATTTCAAAATTGTGGTTTTCGTCCGGTTTGCAACTCATTGCTATTTTCGTCCCTGAGTCACTCCTACCTTTTAAGTATGAGGGATGAAAGCAACAAAGAATTGTAAACCACGAAAACATCAATAATTTGTAAATCATAAAAATGAACACAATTATAGAATTGTAAATCATAAGGATGGAAATCGTAATCACAAAAGTACAAGGAGAAAATAGTAGTTTTCAACAAACTACAGGGACTAAAAACATAATTTACTTTACCTAATTTCTTGCCAATTTCACTTAATTTATTGGAAAGCAACTTAGGTCCTTTCCGTAACACTTTGGGTTAGAAAGAAATGTATGTTTGACAGGGTCTAGTTACATGTAAAATAATATCATAATACAAGTACATTTATATAAAAATATCAATTTCTTTATGTTACACTTACGTATTTAAATCAAATTATGAGGTTGATGGTAGTGACATCCATTTTGAATATAATACTGATTTTTAAAAATAATCAAGTTATATATCATGCTTAATGACAACCGTTTATTTTCCCTTTTCTGAAAAAATTAATATAAAAGACAAATTTTGAAGTAAATTTACCTTTGACGTTTTTTATGTGCGCAACTCAACAAATCCCATGAGCCTGAAGTTAAAAACTAGGCAACCAGATTCGAGCAGGTGATTAATGGGGGCCAAACAAAAGACACGTTATCAATTGAGCTACCCCTCAGGGTTCTTGCATAAATCCTTTAGGTATTGTCAAGGATGACTGAACTATGCCCGACTGTTTTTGAAACCCGTTTACGAGACATAACAATCCTTACACTTTCAGCCTTCTCCCATCTTTCCGAAGCAGCATACATGTTGGACATAAGCACATAGTGAGAACGATTGCCTGACATTTGATCTCAGACTTTCTCAAGCACTTGGTTTGCCATATCATGTCAGCGTGAACTCGACAAGTACCAAGGAGAGCCATCCAAATCATGTCATTTGGTCTCATCGGTATATCTGTTACTATTCTATATGCATCTTTCAATCTCCCCGCCCTTCCTAACAGGTCAACTAAACATTCGTAATGCTTACCATCTTAGAGAAAGTTTCTAATCCTTCTTGAACGAACCCTGAATGTGCACAAGCCGTTAAAACCGAGAGAAAAGAGATTTCATTCGGATTCATACTAGATTTCACCATTCTATCAAAGAACTCCAGAGCTTCCTTGCAATGGCCATGGATGGAAAAGCCTGAGATCATAGCATTCCAACAGGCATCATTCCTTTCCAGCATGCCTTCAAATATTAGTCATGCATTGGTCAAATCATCACATTTTGCATACATGTCAACTAAACCATTCAGAATAAACTGATTAAGTTTGATTCTTCTTTGAATTATCATGTGGTGAAGAGTTTTACGTGTTTCTAATGAACCCAATTGAGCACAAGCTGATAAAGCACTTGCAAACGAGACCTTATCGGGTGCGAACCATCTGCTTGCATTTTTGCAAATGCATCCAAGGCTTCCTCACAAAGAGCATTATAACAATACCCAGAAATCAACGAGTTCCAGTTCACCAAATTCTGAACGGTAATTCTATCGAAGATAGCCTTACCCTCCTCCACATGACCATTCTTGAAATACCCTGAAATTATCGATGAATAAACAAAGAAATTCTGTTGTGGCATAGCCTCAAAAATATCCTCAGCAGCCTTCATCTGCCCGTCTCTTGCATGCCCTTCAACCATAACAGTCCAAGTAACCAAAATTTTTTGTGCTGAAGGGATCGAGCTAATCGAAAATACACCTAGCCATCTTCGTATCTGTTCTAGCATACCCTTCAATCATTTTGATCCATGAAACTGTTGTCCTATAAGACATCTTTTCAAATAAGCATAATGCGGGTCTCGTTTCTTCAATTCCTCATACATCCACCTATCATTGCATTCCAGGCATTTCATCAAACACTTTGCGAGCATCAATCACCTCACGACATTTACCATACACGTTCGCTATTGAAGTTCCTACGACAACATCAGATTGCACTCCAGCTTTGATTGATTCGGAATGCAACGCCTTTCCATTATTAATCATGGAAAGAGAAGCACAAGCTATGAAAACCAAAGGGATTACACTGAGTATAAAAAGTGGGTTACCACAATTTTGGGCGTAAATTAGAAGGGCTTCTTTTGTGTAATATTAGAGACGTGAATTCTTATAGACGAATACCAGTTTGACGATGGGTTTGGTTGATTGATCCTGAGGGAGAAATCTGATGCTTTTTGAATTAATTGGGTGTCTGTTTGAAGATTGTTTTTCAATCGTGAAGGAGACCCAAAATATGTTGATATCAAAATTAGAGATTGATGTATCTTGTCTACTTTTAGGCTCTTCCACCATCAGTTTGCAAGATGTCCTTGCCAACCGGCAAACATCTTTGTGACACGTTTCTCGGTGGTCTCCTTCTCGATCAACAGCATCTGCAGAATCAATTGGAGGTTCCCGTCAAAACAAATAACCTGAAATTTACCTTATCTGGTAATCCAAAATTGTTTCGGTTCGATGAGTTATTCGATTTTGGATTTTTTTTTCCTAGCGCTTCTACTCACCCTTAGACCATCTCCAATCGTCCGCCATTTTAGCGTCTGAAGATCTCCAACCATGCGGCAAACGGTAAAATAAAATACCGGCCATCAACTGCACACTGCATATTTGCCGTGTGCAAAGTGGAACAAATTCAATTAATATAATTTATTTTATTTAAATAAATATGAATAATAATAATAATAATAATAATAATAATAATAATAATAATAATAATAATAATTATAAACAACTATCATTTATTTAGGGTGTATAAGATTGCTTATAAAAGCTGTTTTTTAACTTATTTTAGTTTGGCATCAGTGATAAGCTGTTTTCTGGTGTTTGGATAAAAAAAAAGAAAACTGCTTATACCAGTGCCAAACCGGTAATAAGCTGTTTTTGATAAATTAATCCTTCTTGACTTATAAAAACTGTTTATTACCAATTTACAATTTTAACTTTGTTTTATTTAATTCCGGTTTGATACCATATAAGTTAATAAACATTTTTATAAAAAAAAGCATAAGTTGTTTTAAATAAGCAATCTCAAACACCCTTTTAGTAAATGACTTTTTAATATTATTTTTAAATATAATAGTACCATTTTTAATATTATTAAAAGATGACTTTTTAATCTTAACTTTAGACCTTGCGTCAAAAAAATGGTTTAATGGTAATTAATGTATTTAGACCTTGCGTAAAAAAAAATGGTTTAATTGTAGGGAAAAGTACAATAAAAACCAATGAACTTTCTTGTTTT